CCTGCACCCAGGTGCCACACCCGTGGCATCGCTTTTGGGTGCAAAAGCGGGGGGAAATGGGTGTGAGGACCTACCACCACCCCCACTGCCTTCCTGCCAGTCCTGGTCCAGCTCCGCCAGTGCCAAGCCTGCAGGCGAGAGGGGGTTAGGGACAAGGAGGTGGCATGTGTTCCCCTTATGTTCCCCAGTGGCCCCCAGTGGCCCCAGGTGGCCCCAACTCACTGTGCTGGCAGTAGGGGCCGGTGTAGCCCTGCGGGCAGAGGCAGGCGTTGCCCTTGCAGGTGCCACCATGCAGGCAGGGGTTGCGGTGCAGGCAGCGGTCCTCCTCCCGCTCACAGCGTGGCCCTGGGGACACAGAAGGATGAGGCAGGTGAGCGTGAGGGTGGTCACCAACCCTCGGCTCACCTGCTGCCCCAGGGTTTGCCCTTGCACGCACACACACATGCAAGGCGAGTGTGCACATGAGGAGTGTGTGTGCACACACAGCGCCCACCGTACATGCTCATGCACGCCACACACACGTGCAGACACACATACATGGACATACAGACACGGCAGGTGCACACACATGCAAACTGCAGCCATGCATGCATGCTTATTGCACACATCACACCCGCATGCACGGCAGATACATGCAGTGCATGCATGCAGGGGCAGCAGATGCACCTGCTTGCAAACTGCACCCACGGTGCACACCCACGTGCACAGCACCCTTGCATGCACACCAAATGGATGCACACACGTCATACAATGCACACACGCAGACACCGCGCAGGAGCAGAAGATGCCCCTCCTTGCAAACTGCATGCATGCATACAGAGGGTACAGCATGCATGCAACTTGCATGTGCAGCATGCAGGCATCTGCAGCACGCACGCATGCACAGTCCATGTGCATGCACACACAGTGCAAATTCATGCACGCACAGTGCACGTCCATGCACAGCACACATGCATCTGCAGCACGCACGCATGCACACATGCATGCACAGTGCACGTGCATGCTCCATATGCAGCACATGTGCACGCATGGTGCATTTGCTTACACACAGTGCACATGCATGCACAGCACACATGCATGCACAGTGCATGGTGCACGTGCATGCTCCACATGCAGCACACAGGCATGCACGGTGCACATGCTTACGGTGCACATGCATGCACCACACACACACATGCACTCACAGTGCACATTCATGCACGCACAGTGCACAAGCATGCACAGCACGCATGCACACATGCATCCACAGTGCCACATCCTCCATATGCAGCACATGTGCATGCATGGTGCACTTGCCTACACACGGTGCACATGCATGCACAGCACACATGCATGCACAGTGCACGGTGCACATGTACGCTCCACATGCAGCACACGTGCACACACAGTGCACATGTGCACACACGGTGCACACGCATGCACTGCACACATGCACACTGCACGGTGCGTGTACATGCTCCACATGCAGCACATGTGCACGCACGGTGCACACGCTTGCACACCAGTGTGCACGCACGCTTGTGCAGCAAACACCCACAGTGCACCCGTGCAAACTGCCCAGGCGTGCAGACCCTGAGGCCCCGCTCGGACTCACCGCTGAAGCCAGGCGGGCAGAGGCAGCGGTAGGCAGAGGAGCCGGCAGGCAGGGGCAGGCAGCGGCCCCCATGCAGGCAGGCAGCGTGCAGGCAGGGTGAGCTCTGCCTGCACTGCCCCACACCCCGGCTCCGCAGGAAGCTGTAGGACAAATCCACCTTCTTCCCATTGATGGAGACCTGGGGGGACACCGGCAGGCGGGGGGTCAACCCCTGGTCCCTGTCCCCTGCCGAGGGGACCCAGGTGTCCGGGAGGGGATGGTGATGGGTGTCTCACCTCCCCAATGCAGCCCCGGAAGGAGGCATTGGTCGGGGGGCGCAGGGGGGGTTCGGTGCCACCCAAGTAAAGGGGGGAGCGTAGGTTGAGGCCTTGGCTCTTGCCGGGCGAGGAGCGTTTCACCGGGGCAGCGTCATCCACCACCAGCGTCCCATCCTTGTGCACCCGTTCAGCCATCACTCGGTGCCAGCGGCCAAGTGTCACCGGCTCGGTGCTCTGGAGCACCGCTGGGCCTGTGGGGACAGGACGATGGCATCATGGGAGCAGGGACACACACCAGGGGACACTGGGGATGTGTGGGGACCTGGGAGGTGCCTTGGGAGATGCTGGGGGACCCCGGTGATGCTTGGGGACCCCAGTGGTGACAGGAGACCCCGATGACACCAGGGGACCCCAATGGTGCCTGGGGACCCTGGCAGCCTCCAGGGACCAAAGTGATGCCAGGGGGACCCCGATGATGTCCAGGGCTCCTGGTGGCACCTGGGGACCCCACTGATGCTAAGGGACCCCGGTGGTGTGACAGTGATGCTCAGGGACACTGGCAGTGCCCGGGGGTTAAGGTGATGGCAGGGGACCCCAGGGATGCCAGGGGACCATGGTGACACACAGGGACCCAACTGATGCCCAGGGACCCTGGCAGCACCTGGGGACCCCCATGAGGCCAAGGGACCTTGAGGACACTTGGCGACACCAGTGGTGCCAAGGGACCCTAGAGATGCCAGGGGACCTCAGTGACAGACACCAAGGGACCCTGGTGACACTTGGGGACCTGAATGATGTCAAGGGACCCCAGTAATGCCAGGCCACCCCAACTATACCCTGGGTCCCCGGTCCCACCAGGACCCGGTCACTGTGCCAGCCTACCTGAGCCCAGCTCGTAGCGGAACTCGAGGTGGCCGCCGGCCATGGCCAAGGCAACGAAGTCCTCGACGGGGGCGGCTTTGCCGGCGCTGAAGAGCAGGAGCCCATCGGGTGCCAGCGGCAGGAACTCAGCCTCCACCCGCAGCTCGTGGTGGACGTTGGTGAGGGGCGGGTAGGAAACGAAGGCGCCCGCCTCGCCGAAGGACGGCACACTCACTGCCTCACCTGTGGCACCCCCAGGTCAGTGCCTGGCTGGTGGGACCCCATCCTCCCTCCCTGTGGTACCCATCTCCCCAGGGTGGTCCCCAGACCTGTGCCCGTGTCCTCAGGGTGGTCCCAACCCTGACCCATCTTCCCAGGGCGGTCCCAACCCTGTCCCCACCTCCCCAGGGTGCTCCCAGCCCTGTCCCCATCTCCTCAGGGTGGCCCCAGCCCTGTCCCCATCTCCCCAGGTCAGTCCCAGCCCCATCCCCATGTCCCCGGTGGCGCTCACCCTCGGTGCACCTCTCCCCAGCCTTGCCCAGGTGGCAGCGGCAGGTATAGCCCTGCCCGTCTGGCCGGTTGACGCAGGTGGCATCAGCCCCGCATGCCTCTGTAGGGTGACAAACTGTGAGTACCCATCCAGGGAGGGACATGGGGGAAAGTGCCGGCCGGGAAAGCCGTGGGGACAGCGGCAGACATAGGTACCACTCTCGGCGTCCTGGCACACGCCGCCGTTCTGGGGAGGGGAATATGGGTGTCAGCGATGGGTGGGGATGGGTGGGGATGGGTGGGCATCACCCACAGCCTCACCTGGCATGGCCGGTCCTGGCAGGTAGGACAACTGGTGACACCGTGCGCCTGCAGGTCCATGTCCCCAAAGGCCACCTCCTCCCCTTGGATGCGGAGCTGGCGCACGCAGCCTGCGGAAGGACGGAGGTGGGGGTGTGGGGGGGAGATGATGCTCAGCCCCCCACCCCATCCCAGGTGCCCCCCCAAACCCCATCACTCACCCATGAAGCCACGACTGAGCCCCGTCTTAGCCAGGGCACCGAAATCGGGGTACCCCCCCAGGTACAGCTCCTCGTTCAGATCCAGCCCTTGAAACTTCCCCTGCAGGCACACTCAAGTGAGCACCACCTCCAGCACCCTGACCCCCACCCAATACACATCCGCACACCCCCCCTCTTGAAATACCTGGGAGGTCCCATTAACCGGGGGGTGCCCATCCAGTGCCAGCGAACCCCGGGTGAGGTTGCGGAGGAGGCGGACAGTGTGGTACTCGCCCAGCCGCAGCGGCGTCGGGTGCCGAATGGTGGCCATGCCCGAACCAGCATCAAACCTTATATTTTGGGGGCACAATGGGTGTGGGAGGGTGCTGGCACCCATCTCCCCCCCCTCGCCCTGCTCCCATCGCAGCCCACTCCTGGGTCTCACCTAAATTCGGGGCGGCCGCCCACCAAACCGAAGGAGATGAAGTCGGCGCCGCTGGTTTTCCTCTGCCCGTTGTAGAGGAGAAGCCCTGTGGGGTGGCAGCGGGTCAGGCAGGATGGTGCTCACCTCAGGGGGGACCCCAAAACACCCCCAGGGTGGAGGAGAACCCCGCCAAGGCGGGAGGGGGCCGTGTTGAATAGAGCAGGAGAGCAGAGGGAGGGAGAGGGGAGGGCAGAGGAAAGCATGGGGGAGACACGGGGGGGACATGGGGACACATGCGGGGACACGGGGTCCCGTCAGCGCTCACCGTCAGCGGCGTCAGGTCGGAAGGTGATGAGGATCTCAAACCTCTTGTAGGCATCCTTGATGGTGGGCAGGGGGAGGAAGGAGCGGGGCGTCTGCCCGAAATAGGGCACCAGGCGCTCTGCAGGGATGAGGGGGTCAGAAGGGGTGGGGGTACATCACACCCATCCCCCCCCAACCTGTCCACCCATCTGTCCATCTGTCCATCCTCACCTCGGACCTTGAGGACGTAGTAAGCCGTCTCCTGGCCACGGCGGTTGGCGGCGGCGCAGGCGTAGACGCCGGCGTCCTCGTGGCGCACAGCTGGCAGCGTCAGGACGTTCCCCTCCACCCTGGCAGCCACTGGCAGCGCCCCCCCCCGCTGAGG